GGCTTTTTTCTTTTTGCTTATGTGGTGCTGAGGAATTGAACCCAGGGCCTCATGCATGCAAGGCAAGCGCTCTACCACTGAGCCACCTTCCCAGCCCTTTCTTGTTATTCTTATCCTATGTACAACTTACTTCTATTTACTACGCAGGCCATAAGAAGACATGAATGAACATTCTGTGAATGTCTCACACTGTAAGCCAACTTGTCCAACCCTCTAAAAATGAGCCAGTGAGGATTAGTGGCAAATTCATAATCCATTGAAATACTCATCCAAGATGGAGGCCCTGATTATGTGGCCACAAAAACCAGAAAGGCACTGAGGACACATACTAAGTGAGAACATTCTAGACACCTTAAGTCATTCATTAAGACAATGAGGGTTACCCATTTCCTCCTACCATTTTAAATATTACTCTTAGAAAACATGTGTGGCTTCACCTGAACTAGAAAGTTAAGCAAACATTTTGCCAAGTGACATGACCTGCAGACGTGCAGGGCTGGGTGTGACAGCACACCAAGGAAAACAGGCGTGGGAGAGAAACACAGATGCTTGCCTCTGAACTTTGTAGATGGGTGCTGTGACTCCGCGGACAGCTCAGGGTAGGACCATCCACACACTGAGAGCTTCGAAAAGCTTCAGGCATGCCTAACAGGAGAAGGCAGCCCTGGGCCAGCCTTCTGCATGCTAATCTAAAGCAGATACATCTGTGGAATTGCACTCTGGCTAACTGCATCAGTTTTCTTCACGGAAATCATTTTACGGCATGGGCGTCAGTTCCAGTAAAGATTTCCACTGAGAGCCCATGTCTGGCTATGACAATGACTTAATCACTGGCGCTAAAGGGAGGTGATAGCCACAGGGTCAGAACAGCTGGACACCAAGCCTCTGCCTCTGGCATCACTCCATGAGCCATGCATGCCCCAAAGTAGATGGCGTTAGAAACCTATTTCCCTCCTGTTTGTGACTGTACATCTATCTGCTTTGGATTTTTGTGTCTTCAGGAATTCATGGCTTTTCTTGGGACACCCCCTTATATGACTAGAATCTCTGGACAAAGGTATTTATCCATGCTACAATCTGGGAATAGTGCATTTGTTTTAGGCCATGTTGAGGGAAAAGTCTTGGAAGGCCTGAACGGCCTTGACTTGGTCTCCTGTGCCTTACAGTGCATGGAGAATCTAAGCAACATGGCAGCACAGAGGAAATGAAGAGAGCGAGGAAGGATGTTCAGTTGACAGGATCTGAGAAGGCACTGTGCTTGGGCCACAGGAGATCAGCTCAAGTTATCGTCACTTTGAAGGTGACATTGAAAGTCTGGAGTAAGCCACTGAGACAATGGAGAAAGAATGAACAAGCTATGGAGAGAACAGGAAGGTCAGGGAGAAAGCTCGATAAAAGGGAGACTTGGGCAGGGCCACAGCTCCTGAGGAAGGTAAGCAGAAAAGTCTGTCCAGAAAGGGAGACTGGTCTGTATTCACAGGATCGATGGGTCAGTGGAGGAAAGAGAAGGAAGTGGGCACTTTAGATACACAGACTTGTAGCCGACCCCACAGAGCTCTGGATCCTGCCAAGAGCACATGGGCAGGTGGAGCCTATGGGCTGCTGTGGCAGGGGCTGCTTAGAGAGGAGCTCCTCACCATCTTCAAGCACAAAGGCCCCAGGACACGCAGGAAGAGGGTCTGCCCCACATCTCATGCCTCTTCCAGGGACAGAAAGGCCTTGAGCAGACACAGGGCATGATGAGCCATAGGGACATATCTGCGCCCAAGACAATTTCAAAGAGTGTTCCTGAGGTGGAGGGGTGTGGGGTGAATTAAACCATATGCAAAGAATGGTCTCAACCAGAAACCTGAACTGAAGCTTCAAGGGGCAGAGAGCCATGCGGGTGGCCGCTCCTCTCATTTGTGACAAGCTGGTTGCCTTGCACGGGAAGAGCTACCTTCACACACTGAGATTTTGATGAGGAGCAATGACCATAATTTTGTTTAAAGAGTCGCAAGGGCCTGTACTTGCAGAGAACTACCTTTTAAATACCTCCCCCCTTTTGTACTGGGGTTTGAACAGGGTCTTGCTCTTGCCAAGCAGGTGCCCTACCACTTGAGCCATACCTTCAGCCCTTTATGCTTTAGATGTTTTTAAATAGGGTGCTGCATTTTTGCTGAAGCCAGCCTGGTCTTGAACCTTCCTGCTTACGCTTCTCACATAGGTGGGACAAGATGCATATCACCATGCTCAACTGTTGGCTGAGATGAGGATTTGCTCACGCTTTGCCTGATTTAACCTTGAACCATAGTCCTGTGATCTCCACCTCCTGAGTAGCTGAGATTACAGGAGCAAGTCCCTGCACCCAGTTTCAATGCATTTTTCAAGCTCTGTTTTTGTAGTGAAAAGTTTTCAAGTATATTAAGACTTTTACATTTAACTCCTATTGTCAACATTTGCTTGCATATTTAAGGCATTCCTAAGTAGTAGTATAGGATAATGTTTAATGATTTTGATTTCCTGATGGGAAATGTAAACACAACCTTTGTACTTAATATAGTGGGAATGGTTTTCATTCCTAACAGTCTGTCATTACTGCCTGACTTCATATGCGTTAAAAAGCAGTTTGTAGCCAAAACAAAAACAAATATTTCAGAGACTGCAATTGTTCTCATTAATCACACATTTGGGGCTGGAAATTTTACAAATATGATTGCTAAAATACAACTATAAATAATAGGCATATATATTTAAAAAACAACCCTTGGGTAAAAATGTCTTAGTCAATAGGGCAGAGAGAGAGAGAGAGAGAGAGAGGAGAGAGGGGAGGGAGAGGGGGGGGAGAGAGAGAGAGAGCGTGAATTCAGTAAGACTGAAGGCAAAGGTAGGTTAAGTCAACAGTATCATGAAGAGCACCTCCCAGGAACCAGCTCAGCCTCAGCAAGGCAAACCATCAGGGACTGGGGCCAGGATGCCTCACCCGGCAGTTGAGCAGCGTGTACAGTACGTGGTCCGGGGTGGTCTGCGCCCTCCACTGCAAGACTTCGGAGAGGAACAGGAACTGCAATGGTACAGATGGGTTAGGTCTGGGTGGGCACTCTCGAAATTTAAATGGGTTACAGATGGGCACTCTCAACATCTAATCAAAATATCCCATCTCAGTGTAGTTGGATGTTTCTACAATAGCATGCTTTCTTCCACTGGGAAATGAGGACATTTATTTTTAGGAAAACCACGAACAAATGAATAAACAGGACAAGCAAGTGCAAGTAATTTTTTTCCTATAATGACTTAGAAGTCAATGCACCTGGTTTAGGGACTGGCCAAGTGGTCAGGGTTAGGTAAGCTCTCTACAAGCCCGTGTAAGGACGGCATAGTCACTTGTTCTACGGGCAAGGGGAGCTGATACAGCAAGCTCTTTCACATGGGCTGCGGAGACGCAATGTTGTATCTAACATGCTTAAAGGGCTTGATTAAATTTATGTTTTTAGAATGGCAATTCTCTGGTGTCATCAAATTGCACTGCAAATTACATGGATTATATGCACTGAGTCGATTCAGTGTGTAATAAAAAGGACAGTCCTATTACATGTCAGGATATAGGAAAGAGCCATGAACAGTGCTAATTGGTTTTATTAACAGAAATGTACTGCGGGGGAGGGGATGATGATTGAGTGCTCTGAAGTCATAAGCTGTGTGTCACCACACTGGTGATATTTACACCGCTGGTCTTGCCACATTCCCTAGCAGTCTACGAAGAACGGGATAATTTTTTGGCCCTGGGAGACCACACCTCTCTCACTGAGCTCTAAGCACTGTCAGGGGTGAATTGTTCTAACATGGACTCCCAACTACTTAGGACAAGTTGTGACCCATGTGTGTGTAAGGGGCTGGAGGATTTCTCCTGCAGGTGCAGTGGGAAGGATGGAAAGATGGAAGCCAGGAAGCAAGCTCTGCATGGGCAGTGTGTGCTTCCCATCAGCGCTGGTGGGGACAATCAGAAGTGAGTGGAAAGGGGACACTACGATGGTTTCCAAATGTCTATCTAAGTCCTGCCAGTTCTCATTTTGTACCATGATAAATTTTCTGTAACATCTTCTAAGAAATGTTTTTCTTTTAAGCTTACAAGATGTCCCATGAAAGGCAAGTGGGAGGCAGGGAAGGTTAACCAGAGACGAACCCTCGGTGGAAGGTATGGAGGGGACAGGGAGGAACTTGGGGCAGCCACTCTGTGATTCGGCATCCACTTCTGCTCCTACCTTCCGGGCCTGGTCATTGTCTTCTATCTGCCCCAGGTCTCTTCCACTCGCTTGGGCAATCCGCTTCCCAGACACCAGGTTTCCCACCATCACAGAGGCGGGGCCGATTTCTGGAAGGAAAATGGACGTATGACCTTGCAGAGAATGGAACTTCTCAAGACATGGCCCCCCAGCTTGATCATAAACTTCCTCTCCAGAAACCCTTTCCAAGACAGGTTTAAATGGCAGCTACTGTAAGAGTTTTTAAAAAGGATGGAAGGACAACAATGAGCAAAGACAAATCGACCTCAATCAGAGGCTACATGGAAGTACTTTCATCACATGAAATTCCCCTAGCTCCCCTCCATGCCATTTTCCCCATTTTCCAGTGAGTGTGAACACAGGGGCTGTGGGTGTGCATTCTCAGAGGCAACAATAAAAATGATAAAGAAGACAGAATCTAAAAACAGGATGTACTTCACTGCTAAGCAATTAACTTTCTGGATGTCTGTTCTTATGTTATTAATACACTTTGTGAAGACTGTTGACCCAAAATAAAAAAATTACAATACATTTGTGTGTATGAGTGTATGTGCATGTGTGTGTGTGCACACGCACACTCATGTGCTGGTCCTGGGGCTTGAACTTGGGGCTAGGGCAGCACTGCCCTGAGCTTTTCTATGTTCAACGTTAGTGCTCTACCACTTGAGCCACAGTGTCATGTCTAGCTTTTTGAGTAGCATATTGGAGATAAGAGTCTGGGCTGGCTTTGAATAGCTTTTTTTTGGGGGGGGACCGGTTGTGGGGCCTGAACTCTGGGCCTGGGCGCTGTCCCTCAGCTCTTCAGCTCAAGGCTAGCACTCTACCATTTGAGCCACAGCGCCACTTCCGGCTTTTTTCTTTTTGCTTATGCAGTGCTGAGGAATCGAACCCAGGGCCTCATGCATGCAAGGCAAGCGCTCTACCACTGAGCCACCTTCCCAGCCCCTGAATAGCCTCTTGAGTAGTTAAGGATTACAGGTGTGAGCCACTGGCTCCTAGCTATTATATGTGTGTGTGTGTGTGTATATAAAATGTATGCATGTATATATATATATATATATATATATATTATATTTATGTATATATATGACTTGCTGATAAAATATAAAATACATGTTATATACATACATTACTCTCTAAATCTATCCCAAAAGGTCTATATATTATATATATATATATACACACACATTCTGTGTGTGTCTATATATTATATATAGTATATATGTATTATATATGTACACATATATGTATTATATATGTACACATATGTACATATATGTACATATATTATATATACACACATATATATGTATTGCATATATATGTGTGTGTGTATATATATAATATAGACCTTTTGGGATAGATTTAGAGAGTAATATGGTAGAAGGGACATACTAGAGAATTATTTATTCAAAAATTTTATTGAGGTGCTGGGAAGGTGGCTCAGTGGTAGAGCGCTAGCTTTGAGCTGAAGAGCTAAGGGACAGCACTCAGGCCCAGAGTTCAGGCCCCACGACCGGACCCCAAAAAAAAATTTTTTTTATTGACTGATAAGGTTCTTCCACAAGGGACGTGGAAGGGTGAACCAAAAGGCTACTATAAAAATCACAGTCCTTTTCTGCACCATTGTCACAGATTTAATAACTAATGCTCTTTCCCTGGTTTAGTAGAACATTTTCAAAGAGAAAAGCTATGCTCCTTTCAGATAGCTTTTCTTTTCTGATGAAAATTTCCTAAAGAAACTTTAGAAACTCAAATCTTCTGATGGCTAGGAACCCGGGTTCTCTTCCAAGTTTTGCCAAAGTACCACTGTTCACATCTTCTTTTCAGTAAGCACACATACACAAAGCAAGGTATGTATATATGACTGGAAGAGGTTAAATGTTCTAGACATGTCCCATTGTATCAGAGGTCATGAGTTGGGGATGAGGATAGGAAAGAAAAAAGAGAGAAAAAAAGGAGAGAAGGAGAAAGAATGGCAATGTAAAACAGAAAAGATGCCAGGTGCTGGTGGCTATGCCTGTAATCCTAGCTACTCAAGAGGCTGAGAAATGAAGATCATGCTCAAAGCCAGCATGGGAAGCAAAGTCCATGTGACGCATCTCCTATTAACCACCCAAAAAGCCAGAAGTACAGTTGTAGCTCAAATGGTAGAGTCCTAGTCCTGAGCACAAAAAGCTCAGGGACTCAGGGACAGCATCCAGGCCCTGAGTTCAAGCTCCAGGACCAACACAAAAAGAAATAAAATAAAACAAATAATAAAGATGACATCATAAATTTCATTCTTGACTTGCTGATAAAATATAAAATGAAGGTACTATTAAGTAGAACTATTAAACTTGACAAGGGTAAAGTTGTTCATGAATCAGGGTACATGTGTGTGGTTTACTACATCCATATGAAAAGCCTGCATCTGCAGTTAAACAGAGATGTTTTTTTAAAAGCAGGCTGTAGGTCAAGGGTAAAGAACAAGGCTTAGCATGGCCCAGTTACCATGACAACCACCCAGACAGTCAGCCTGGCCTCCTGTTAAACACTTCCTGAAATGATGACTAATGGTACAAGGCAGTTCAGGGCCTGATATCTTCTAGCTGACTTGTCCAAGTAAGAACAAGAGTTGGGCTACTCATTCTTTACATGTGGCCAACCACGTTGAATGTGTCACAAAAAGTCAACTCATCATATTACTCTAGGAGAAGCCACAGACTTTTGGGCTCTTGTCTGCTACTGTCTTAGGTTTTAGGGCATTCGTAGGAGCTGTTAAGTTTCTGTGGAATCAGAACATGAAGCTGTGGACAGGGGAAATTCCTTTTCTTTCTTCTTGTGCCACAAGTCCACCTTATTTGTTGAGATAGGGTCTTGGTAACTTTTCTCCCAGGGTTGGCCTCAAATCTAGATCCTTCTAATGTCTATCTCCTGAGCAAGGGGATTACAGGCAGAGCCACTGTGCCTGGCCCTTCTTAGTTCTTAATGAAGTACTTATGAAAGAGAAATCGTTTCTTCACAGCAAAAAACAAGCAAATCTGGCAATGTGCCATTTGCTGAAATGAATGAAGCTGGAGGAGTGGTAGAAGCATGTGTTAATTGCTTCTGCATGAAAATTAAGCACATCCAGAGTCAGCATTCTTGCTTATCAGCCGTTTTTCTCCTATCTTCAGTATTTGTTGGAAATGTATCTTAACATTCTCCATGAGGCTGGGCAAGATGATTCTTCTAAGAGGCCAACTTGGAAATTGGCCTGAGCTGGTTTAAAGCATTGAAACTAGGAGGGAAAGCAAGACCTCAGGGTGACGTGCCCTTTCTCCTTGCCTTGCTGTGGGCTCCTCTGCTACTGAGCATAATCTCCCTGACTGGGGTTAATTTCTGCTTGTATTCTCTGAAGGCAAATTTTTGGATCTTAGGCACCACATAGGCTTATGGGCTTACTTTGGCCAATGGTTGCCTGGAGACCAGAGGTGCGGTTGCTGCAACTCTTAGCAAATCTGTTCCCATCTGGAATTGCTGATCTCTCTCCTCCTGTTGACGTGGGGTTGGTGTGTAGGATATACTTACAGCGAATCACTGCCTCGATGTAAAAATAGAAAGTGGAGACCTACCCCTGAATCTGTGTATATCTAAGATTCATATTTCACCTTTCTGGTTCCTATTTACACACTTATCTTCAAGCCAGCAACTTTTAGATTACTGGATCCCTGCTATACGCTGCTTGACAAAGTCACATGGGGAAAGGGGTGGACATTTCTCTGAGAGAGTGACAAGATACTCCACATGAGGATGCTGGACAAGAAGCAATGTCCGCCCCTAGGCGCTCTATCCTTGCTGACGGAATGTCCTCAGGTGGGCTGCACTGTGGACTGCAGCCTCCTTTTATAACTGTTACATTTCTGTTACCTTAGATGATGGGTGACAGGTTCTCTTTAACACCGTTTTGGCAGTACTGTGGTTTGAGCTCAGGGGCAAGTACCTACGAAGCAGACATCTTACTGCTGGCCAATGTCACGTCTAACTGGGGTGGACTCTGTATGCACTGGATGCTGTCCTTCCAGACCACGTTTTCTACCTCTTGATCTAGTGCGTTCCCACAATAAATTCCCTGTCACTGATACCTAGGTGCAACCTGATTCTCTTTCTCTCTCTCTCTCTCCTCCCCTCTCTCTGCCAGTCCTGGGGCTTGAACTGTGGGCCTGGGTGCTATCCCTGAGCTCCTTTTGCTCAAGGCTAGCACTTTACCACTTGAGCCACAGCATCATTTCTGGCTTTTTAAAATGATTAATTGGAGATAAGAGTCTCACAGACTTTCCTGCCCAGGCTGGCTTCAAACTGCGATCCTCAGATCTCAACCTCCTGAGTAGCTAGGATTAGAGATGTGAGCCACCAATGCCCACTACACCCAGCCCCCATTCTCTTTATGGCTAGGATTACAGGTGAAGCCACCAGGCCTGGTCCAGACACACTGTTGTAAGAACAAGGTCACAAATAACATAGAACACTTCATGTTCAACGTGCTTTCCTGTGTGTGGTGCCTTGCTCCTCAGGTGGCCACACAAGACTCATGACTCGCCCATGTGCCGTACAGGGCTGTGTCTTGTCTAGCCCACCTGCTGACCAAGTACTGGTATTGCGGTAAGAAGACTGCCCACGTGCTTAGTGCAAACATTGCTGAGTGGCCTTCTGCTCCACAGGGCTGCTTCCCTCCAGCACACCACGAGCACAAATGCATTTATTGGGAGGAAGTGGGTTCTTCTGGGGAGTTTGCGGCTATGTGGGGGGCCGGTGAACGGGGGGTCTAGGAACCCCCTGGGCCTGGCCCCAGTGAGCCTGGCGCTCCCCGCATGGCTTGGTGGCCCTAGGTTGCGTCACACGGTGCTTTCCCACGTACCTGGTTGCTTCTGCCGCGGCTTAGGTAGGTTGGTGACACAGGTGTGCGGGCACATGAGCACGTTGCAGGGGTGCAGAGAGCCCTCCAGGAAGAGCTGCTTCGTTTCCGACAGGTGTATTCCCCCAAGCGGGGTTTTGGGGAGCGTGTTTGCTGGTACCAAGGCCAGGCAATACACCCCAACCTGATGTATGCTGTCAATTGCCTACAAAATTAAGAAAGAGATAATGTTGAAACAGGGGCTACTAAGCCACACACACACAGCCACACACACACACAGCCACACACACACACACACATACACACACATCATTATTATTATTCTGTTGGCAGTACCACAGATTGGGCTTGGCATTTCCTGAGTGCCCTACCACTTCAGCCATGTTCTGAGTCTCTGCTTTTATTTTGCTTTTGAGATAGGGTCTCTCTAATATTGCTTAGGCTAGTCTTGAACTTGCACTCCCCTGCCTTTGTATTCTGAGTAGCTGGGATTACAGATGTGCACCACCACACTCCCTGCTTTTAGAAAATATTTATACACACAAAATGTTGTTTCTGTGATGTGAAGATGTGATGTGAAGAGGCCTCTGGGTATAAAAATGGCCAGGCAAAGGGCTTTCTCAGTAAACTCACCACACTGAGTAATTTGACACATAAGACTAGTGGAAGATCACAAAACACAAAAAAGGGAATTTGGAAAAGAGAATATTCTCAAGATCCTAACAACAACAGGGTAGGGACTGGCTTTGCAATTCCCGGCATGTTTCCTCCACCCCTCTGCCCCACCCTGTCCTCAGTTTGCTTCCTGTGAACCCCATGGATGGGTTTCCTGTCCAGTGGGGGAAAGGAAGAAAGGGGAGGAGAACCACATAGCAAACATGGAGCCCACAGGGAAGAGCCATGAGCTACAGTGAGCACGGGGAGAAGGAAGGTAGGGGAGGCCGGCAGCGCCGGGTGAGGCTGTGTGACCTGGAGCACCCTGCTCATCCACTGGAAGCTGTCTTCCTCCGTGGAGTCTGGCCTCTGCTCTGCCACGATCACTATCCTTTCATCGTGAAGGACGGTCACTGAGAACACGGCTATCCTGCGGGACAGAGGGGAACGGGCAGTGAGCAATGGAGGGGAGGAATTCAGAACCCTGGTTAATTAGGGAGCGAGGGGCTCACAGGTGCCCACGCAGACGCAAACTCATCCCATAGCCCACACACGGGCAGTGCGAGCAGGACTCGGGGCCTCTTGAGTGTCATTCGTGGCTCCATGGAGGTCTGAGCACTATAGGACAAGGCTTGCTCTTTTGGGAATGGACAGGAGGAGCTCTCCATGGGAACTGCTGACACCCGAGATGTCCTGCAGCTCACTTCTCAAGTCTGCATCTGTGAACTCATATTCTCCGCAGCAGCAAAGATTTCTGCTTGCACCTAACGGGTCCCTGCTGAGTCTGCTGCTCTGTGTGGTCAGCACAGAGATCTGGCCACTCTACTGCGCCTCCTTTGCAGAAACAGACCCTGGTTGTTGAGAGAATTCCAAGGTAGCCAAGTTATACTGGAGCTGTAGCTTTCTGGAGTCCTGTTAGCTTCCTAAATTAAATCAAACAGAAGACGTTGCAGACCTCCTTCGAAGTGGCATCTGCCTCAGGAGCTCTCAGCTCTCTATTATAGAATTGCTGATTCAAAAAGTTTTGTGCATGTGTATTTTTATTTAGTTTATAGGTTAACTTAATGGAAGCATATGTAGGGGGCTCCAGAAATCTCTATAAACCCTTGCAAACGCACAATGGAGATGAACTCCCGGTGCTCCAGTAGCTCAGACCATATGGGAGGGGAAACCAAGTCAAAGTAAGCTGAAGGCATGGGTGCAATCTCTCAACTCTTTGTAACGAGGAGTTGGTTACAGGGCAGCGTTCTGAGTTTGCAGACGGGCGCGACCCACCTTCCTCGGTAGACAAATTTCATGGGCTCCACGGCCAGGGCTGTCGCCACGACGTCATCAGCGTTGTGTCTCCGCCCGCTGACAACCATCAGGCCGTCCATCTTGCCCACCACAAAGACCAGGCCCCCAGGGCCGACGAAGCCCAGCAAGCCCGTCCTGATAAACGGATACTCACTGATGGGGGCCCCGGAGCTCGTCATGGGAAAGACCTGGGGAGAGGTGATCTCTAGTCAAGACGGCTTTTCAGGTCTGCAGGTCCCATATGTCCCACATCCTGAGGTTCTGGTGACAGATCATAACTTCTGCTTGACACCTGACAGACATGGGAACACCCTCCCACACCCTCTGTGCCCACCTAACCCAAGCAGGGTACCGTGCCTGCAGGCCTGGGCCATGTCCAGAGGCCCGGGGCCGACTCCTCCCCCAGGACAGAGCCTCCAAAAGCCTGAGCCAGAAATGGTTACACGAGGCTAAAAAGACCAGTTTGTTTCTCTGTATATAAGCTGAGGTCAAAGCAATTAATGGAGAACGGAGGTACATTTTAAGCAACATACGTTACTAGCAACATACATAACTGATCCTTATTAGCTCAAATATTATTTTTCCTTATTGCAACTAAGTGGAAAAGAAAAAAAAGCAAAGAAGGCAAATTGTGTATGACTGAACAGCAAGCTCCTTTCCCCTGCACTCTGCCGAGGAATCACAGAGACGTATTTACACTGTACCCAGCTCAGGTTTCAGGGGATATTTTAGAGTGGAGTTCACGCTCATCGAATCTGTCCTAGCCAGGCCACCATCACAAATGTTATACTCAAAATTCTAGACATTTAGGAATTATCTCCAAACAATGTATACTGCCTTACACCCAGCCCAGTAAAAAGGCAGAAGAAATTCTGAGAGTGCTGTGATGCAGCATGAACGCCTGAGCCCGTGAGCTGAACCTCGCTGGGATCTCTGCTCATGGGTAGCACATGTGCATACCACACAGCCCCCCAAGCAAGTCACCCCTCAACACAGGTCCACACACCTACACCCTTCTTGTGTGAATGGCACCTGCGCCGCCCACGTCCTCCTTTGTCTGGGGAGATCATTATGGAACCCTTAGCTTGGGTTCTCCTGAGTTTGCGCCTGCCTGAGTCTCGCTTCGGCTGTGAGGCTGTGAAGAGGGGGTCGGCCAGTTTCCCAAGCCAGGCCATCCACATCTCATCTTCCAGTAGCCGCTTTGTCAACTGGCGCTTGTGTGACACAGCAAATAGAAGGAGACCCAGCTTTTTAAGAAACTGTACTTACTCTTTTAGTGATAAGGTCAGAAAGGTGCTGGTAAACCAAATGTATCAAAGACAAAACCAGCAGGAAAGGGTATAAACCATTCGGGTTGAAGAATTGTCACTGTGGAGTGCTATTTGGTTTCTGTGTACCAGGCTGTGAAGGAGCTCATGGCCAGCCTACCTCAAACGTGTTCTTCGTCATACCGGACAGCCCATAGTACGATGTTCCCGTGGCAACAGCACACACACAGAGCTCCCCAATCTCATCTGTTCTGCACAACTGGGGGATGCCATCCGGCTTCACTGAACACATGATGGCTGAAAGCAAACCCGGGAAACACAGAGAATGTGGGAGAGGGATTAATGCACACATGAATATGCAGGAAGCCGCAAATAGAAGCAGTATCTGGAAGGAAACCAAGAATCACACACAGTCAGGTACCCGTTCTCCCTAAACCAAGTCATGATGTCTCACGCTGTAGCAGGATGTCAGGTTCCACTGTTGTGACATCGATCATTTCAACTGCTTTAATTTTAATTGTAAATTGTATTTAAAGGGAACAACATACTTGCCATTTAGGTACAAAGAACACAAATATCACCAGCAAAATCTCTGCCATACACACAGTGTTGGCACACCAGCGTCCTGCATACCACCATCAATCACAAGTGTGACTGGCAAACCAGGAGCCTGGTGTCTAAGAGGTGGCAGAAAGAGCCAGAGACCATCCCAGGTTGGAGTGAAGGCTCGAAGAAGTACAGCCAGAGGAAACATGAAAAGTTAAAAGTTAACTTGACTCAAAGTAAGGAAAGTTCACATCAGAACTGTACTGAACTATTCACCGATCATATTAATAAAAATAAAAAAGGCTGACAACACACCATCCACCATGGCAGGAATATACATCCTCATGGACTTTCTGAAAGACTAACAGAATATTAACAGAATGTTGTGGGCATCTTGCCTTGAAGCAAACTCCCACACCTTACATAGATAGGGTTCCTCACCACATCAGGCAACAGCCAAGTGTGAAGCTCACCCAAAAGTGGAGGGTATAAATTATTATGTATTCAAACCTTACAACTCCACATCACTACAAAAGAACACATTCTTTATGTGCTAAGAAACTCAAAGATACAAAACATGAAGGTTATTGCTCTATCATTATGTAAATAACAGACAACAACAACAAAAAAAGCCACCCAAGAAAGGACACAAACACACATCCATGAAGGGTGTGCATTCCTTTCTAGGTACTGAAAGGAAACCCGAGGTCCGTGGATGCCTCAAGTGGAAAAAGGGAATGTTCTCTCTGTGAATCTTTGGATGCTTCCACCATGGGGATCTATTTATTTGAAAGCTAGTTATTAAGGAAAAATAAAAGGAAAGAAAGGCAGGAAGAAATGGAGCCAGGATGTCCTGGCCTACTCTACTGTGACACAGAGTCTGAAGGAATCTGAAGGTGTCCACAAAGTTGCAGAAACTGCACGGGATGCCAATATCTGCCTTTGTTTCCTTTATGCTCTACCTGGGGCAGCAAAAAGGCCAGACCTCTTCTGGCGAGAGCTCAGCCTACCTTGTCATGGATTAAGGCAGAAGAAATCTACCTGAGATGCCACGAGGCACCCTGGGCCCCTGTGGAGAGCTCTTGGTCACCCTGTGTGTCGTGAGTGCTGATTGCACAGTGACCAATGCTGTTCACGAGACCTGCCGACTTTCTTATTTGGAGGTGCCCAGTGGGGCTCCAAGAAGGAAATACAGATCAAGTGGGAAGGGGCCTGGGCTCCCATCTTAGACAATAAATAGCAGGGAGCCTACATGCTACCATGTGTGGTCCTGTAAGAACTGGAAGAGCATGCAGGCTGGACACCCAGGCGGGCACAGCAGGACGAGGATCCTATGACTGGGGGTTGTCTCTGTTCATTTGTGGAAATTGTTTGTGTGTGTTTATTATAAGAAGGCCATCTCATAAGTTACACAGACTCGTGCTCCTCTGTCTGCACACACAGGGCGAGTGTGGCTCGGAAGCCTATGGTACCCTTGAGGGAAGTTGGATGGGGGGTGGTCAGCTCTGGTCAAGGACCTAGGATGACAAAGGGGAGCTGACCCCTGGAGTGGCAGCGGGGAGGCTGCCTTGGCCAGTGTGGGTGCAGAGCCCGCCCGCCACAATTCCCTCCTGGGATGAAGATTCCAGAATGCCCAAATGCCCCTCCCAGCTGCTCAGTTTCCATTTTCTGTTCTCAGGAGAGTATTGCCTTAAGCATTTGAAGCTTAAGGAGGAGAGTTCTGAGCCCTAGGAAGTCAGGTGGGTGCAGTCAGGAAGTCCTGGCCCAATGCGTGGATCTCACACAGCCCTGGCGATGCATAGTGCACTCACCTCCAGGCATGACGAGGCCCACGTCCTGCACTGTGAGCACTGACAGCTTCTCCTCAGAGTCCACGCGGATGACACCATATGTCAGCCCGTGCATGGACAGCACACCCCGGCCTGGTGGCTGGTTGCTGTCATCCGTGGGCCTGAAAGCAAAGCTTCAGTTGAGTGTGCGTCAACAGAGGTCGGTCTGCCCACAGACTTCATGCAGACCCTGAGACCCCATCCCAAGGACAGTGCCCACTGCTGCTGGTATGAGGGTGGGGTGGGGAGGGCAGGGGTACTTGTCTGTGCTCTGGGCACTGTTAGGTCTGAATCTGAGCTTGCTGATCCAACCTTGGGGCTCCCCGGGCAGGTTCTATCACCTCAGAACAGAAAGACAGCTCCCTGTGTCCTCCTGGCCCTCCCACAGGACACCCGCCACAGACCAATGGGCCTGCTCATCCCTACCCCACTCCTGCTTTTTGCAAGGCATGATTTTCTAGTCTTGGGAAGGGCTAAGAGGAAGGGACAATCCTAAGGCTACAGATGAGTGAGCAGAGATAACGGAAATCCTGCCTGTCCAGCCTTACTTGCAATGCGCACTGTCTAGGTTTAGGCTCCATTTTCTGAGTCTTTCTAAACTGAGATTTCACCATGGCACTCTGGTGTTGAGGGTGAAAGGAGACTATCTGGGGGCAGCGCTTCATCCCAAGGGCAGCGCTCTGGAGGGAGGTGCGAGTTCTGTGAGCATGGCCCCGCGCACCATCGTCTCCCTGCACGCAGAGGCTGCAGGGGTCCCGACCTCCCCAACTGCCTGGCTTCATCTCCACCCACTCCTCCCTCCAGCGCCTCAGATCATTCCCAGTGGGGGCCTCTGTTTTGGCTTCTCCCTTTACCCAGAATGTTCCCTCCACAAACATCCACAGAGCCTGCCCTCCTCCGGCCCCCTTCACTGAAGCTGGCTCAATAATGGGACTTCCATCTCCTCACAGAAATGCACCTGCCCACCAAGCCTGTCTCCACATCCTGCACTCTCAGACTGTGTGAGAGGCCTCCTCTGTCAGTCTAACCTCCTGGGGAGCAGGCACTTGGTTGATGTCCAGCCATGTCCATCCCTGGAACCACACCTAGTACTAAGTATCTGTTGGCTGAAATGGTGTTGGTGAACGAATAAAAATATTTCTAAAACCACAGCTTTTGTCTCTGATGTCTGAAGATTCCATGGGCAGCTAAGTGAGAGGCTACAATTTAGGAAAACATAGCATTTGTTTCTACAACTTTCTATGTATAAATCTTTAATGTGGTTTTAAGATCTTAAAGTTGTACTATAAATGTGAGTTTCCTGTTTAACATTAATGCATGAAAGGGTTTATAATAAGTCTAAAGACATAACTAGGGCAATATAAAACCTAAAACACACAAGAGAAGATCTTGTTTGAATAATGTACTGAAAACACAGAAGTAAAAATAACAGTTACTCTACCTACAGGAACTAAAACAGGTAGAGTTAACCAGAGATAAATGTCTGCCGAAATAATAAAAACATAAGAAAGCCTGGATGTGATGAGCTCAAACTGTCTATTATCCTTCTGGCCTTTGCTTTCCCAAAGACCCTCAACAAATCAAAACTCTCAAAACAAAAAGTTCTCATTTCTCTGCCTATCACAACGGTCCTCCAGAGATTCAAGATGAAAGTCAGAAATTATAAGCTGTAGGCGAAATGATCTCCCTGCCTTAGTACCTAAGATGTGATCTTACTTGTAAATAGGCCCCTTATAGATGCAAGAAGGCAAGACCGGTGGACCTTTCCACTACCAGTGTCCTCATGAGAAAAGGGGCACACAGACACTAGGATGTCAGAGGCAGACAGGAGTGTAAGTCAAGGCAGGCTGAGGCCTGGAGTGGGGCTCAGAGCAGATCTCTCCTACCCTTCAGAAGGAACCAACCCTGTCAATACCGACTTTGGACATCAGCCACCAGAATGAGAGCATAAACTTATGTTCTTTAAAATTAGCTTGTGGTTATTTGTTATGATAGCCTGAGGAATTTTATATACTATCTTAACAAATACATGCTTATTAATTTGCAGATAATTTAGAGTTGGACTTACTCATTTAAAAATCTGCACATTAGCAAAATCTTGTAGTGGCCATGACTATCCCAGGTTCCAGAAGATTCTGGAAACAGTATTTGGTAGCTAGAAGTTCTGCAGACTAAGAGCCAGAAAGACAGTCCTCTTTTAGGATCTGATCATGTGACCTTTGTTACCTTAATTATGAGATCCTCCTTTTTATATCTAACAATAGTTGAGAAGTTAAACCTGCAAATGTAACATCTGGAGTTCATAAATGGTGTTTGTGATAGGAAATTTTGTATTATGTTTATAAGATGAGATTTATGAGGATGGAATGTATTCATACGGCATGTAAATGAAGGATACTAACCTTTTGGTTATTTAATCTACCACTATACATTCATGTTTAATAGACTGCCTTGAGAGTCAGGAAACTCAAGCAATCCCAGGGGCCTTTTCTTTTAGAGGTACAAGGCACACTTGCAAAGGCAAGTGGGCAGCATTTGCAGCCCTGGACCCAAAGGTAGGGCAAAGGCAGAGTCCACATCAGCCCCACAGCCCACCATCTCCCTCCCAGACATTTTCCTGCTCCAGCCCAAGGACCCCCTACACACCTTGGTTCATGACAGCTTTTAACGAAAATACAAAAGCACATGGTTTGAGTTACACAGCCTACATTCTTTGCACAAACAAAGCAACTATTAGGGCAAAAAGAGCCAAGGCCCTATTTCTGTCCCACCTGCCTTGCAATCCTGTCCCTGTCCCAACAGCAACCTGTCAACCTCTCCTATGAGAAGCCTCGGTATTGGACATGCAGCCTCATATTGACTACATACATAAACAAATACTTGAGTTTTTAAAGACAGCCAGAATGACAATATGCATATTCTTCTGCAACTTGCTGTTTTCGCCAAATACATTTGCATGTCTTTCCATGTGAATCTGTGTGTTTGCACAAACAGGGTGTGTATGTGCAAACAGACACCTATGAATTCAACTGTCTTAACTATTCACAGTGTACAACAATGCAAGCATATGATCATTTATTTCACTTAATTTTCATGCAGCGAGAAACTTTTCTAGCTATACCTGTGCAAAGAGAACCAAAGAATCAAAACCTGTCTATGCTGAAAAGGATGAGGAAGCCTCCAGGCAGCCAACACCAATCATCAAACTTTAACACTTCCCCCAACTTGGTAAGGAAACATTTCTCATTGTCTCAGTCTGTGTTGCCTAGAGTATTAACCCAGTTAGGGTATCTTTCTTTCTCCTTTACTGTTTCCTTAGGAAATCAAAATTCTAAAGAGATAGACCAAAGAGGGCAAGTAAAAAATACTAATGAGCAGAACTCGTGGAGATCCAGAAACATTTAATAATTAATAACAGTAGATTAAGCACTGGCTGTCGACAGAGACTCATTTGTCAATTTCCAGAGTCAGCTTTGAGATGGAATGATCCTAGGACGACTGGTGCAGTTCCTCGTTTCTCACAAAGAATGAGTTACGAGAAGAATCAGTTCAGCAATTGCCAGGGATGTACACTGGCAGTTTCTATCCTTAGAGACAGAAGGAGGAAAATACGCAGCTATGTGCCAGTGCTGGACACATGAGGGGTGTACCCCAAGACAACTGACTGGAGCCACAGGGTGTATGCCACTTCAAGTTATTACTACCACCATTTCCAATCTCTGTAAAACAGTTGAAACATCTTCAGTGAACCTTGTGATGCAACACCTGAAGAAATGACGATGATGAATGTCAATGAACACATCTACAGTGTGCTCCTCCTGACTGGAGGCCGAGCCTGGCCGGGCACAGAGTGCACTCACACAACTGGAAGCGAGTCAGGCAAGTAACGTGCAGTGGTGATGATCTCCATCCTGGAGCCTCGACTGTGGTTACCCTTGCAGGGTTTTGAAGCCATCCGTCATTCACCGAATGCTTTTGCAGGCGGGAAGGCAAAGGTCTTCCATTCCTTCCACCTCCAATTCAGGTATGTGCTCTCAGCTTAGGGACAACGGTGCATTTGGAGAGCAAACAGGGGAAGCTGCCCTTTCCTCCTCTCCTCCTCTGCTGTGCCCACTGATGTTTGCTTGCATGACAGAATGTCATTACCGAATGTGCACAGTAATGACAGAAAGGGTCTTCACTGTAGCGGTCGCATACATGCACATAATACTGTAATCAAGTTCTCCCCTTTATTGCTGTTTCTGAACCCTCTCCTTTGTGGGTTTCACTGTTAAGATATATAAATACCTCCCTATCCCCTTGTCCCTTGGCCTTCTTCCCTTACAACCCCCTCTCAGATGTACTTAAAGCACTGTGTGCAGATGAAGCCATTCCATGCTCCCAGAGGCTTATGGTGTACCGTTGGTTGAATCCCCACAGTACAGATGTAGACTTGGAGTCCTGATCGCTCAACATGGCCTAGTCTCAGGCCAACATGAGAAAAGCTGGCAGAGGCGTCCAGGGTGACAAACGACAAAGCATCCTGGGCGAACACAGAGAGGGCAAGGTGGGCGCCATCCCTAGGACTGAGTGGCATACCAGAGCCCCTTGTCTGCCTAGCTTACTGTTTAGACTTTGGACTTTCCTTTCTTGATGAGTATACTATTTATATATGGCTTATTCTCTTATGGTCAAAAGCTAGATGGCATTACAATAATTTTTTTGCAAATTTCATTGTTTCCCTTGTCGATACTTTCCATGCCTTAACAAGTAAAGTACAGGCTAGAGCCAGAACGAACTGGGGCCACCATTGATTTTCTGGAACTAAGGTTTGAACTTGGGGTCTTATGATTGCTAGGTAGAAGATCTCCCAAGCTCCTAGAATCAAGAAAAACTTGCAAGAACAATATATCTTAAATGCAAGTGGTCAGGACAGCTCGAACAGGGAGATGCTACCTCAGCTCCTCAGCACCACATGAAGCCACGCTCTCATTTGGTCATTCTCATCCCAGAACCACCTTATGGTCAGAGAAGCTTAAAGATTTTATCTAAACTTCAGATAAAATTACAAAGTTTTCCCAGTGCCAGTGGCTCCAGCCTTTTATCTTAGCTACTCAAGAGGCTGAGATCTGAGGATCGCAGT